TGTAAAACTAACGTGACCTATGAAGCAACTAACTAAAGTTCCGAGAGGTAAAGTAACTTCCCCAACGTCACACAACTGTCTCACAGCTTATAAGTGAGACAGAATAAATTCCAGTCATCTGCTCTTCCCTCTCTTTTTGTACTATTCTAGATGACATCTCACATTTCAGAAACATATCCGTGCAATACAAATACCACGTCCACACATCCACTAAAGCATTCACACATCCACACCTTATACCCCACATATACCCACACCCCACATATACACACAAAAATGCTGTACTTAATACACTTTCACATGAACATGGGTGTCCACATGATTGCACATACATGTCCATGTAACACAATCCACTGTGCATCCACAAACACCCCCATCACACCCAAGCCCCCACACACATCCATACACATCTACCCACTTGTACACATCACATTTAGAAACCTGCCCACATCACACCAACTCACAAGCATCTAGAGTCACACCATAAAAACAGTAAAATGCACTGGTCCCTCATCTTGTGAATCAAAACTAATTCTTCAGTATATGGAGAAGGGGGTCCTCAGGTTACCAAACATGGGTATCTAAATAATTCTGAAATACCTTCTGAGCCTGCGAAGGAATACCAGATTGCTTTCAGTATTCTTCATTACTGGAGATAGCAGTCTAATTATTTTAAAATTGTTAATCCATATATGAATATTTATGGATACCCTATTAACCAGAATATTTGATTAATTAAAGTAGCATATTATTCATTCATTCATTCACTGTACAACTACTAGGTATCAATTATGTTGGAGACACCATGGTAGACACAGTAGGGGATTAAAACAAAGAAACAATAAATAAAAACACCACGATTCCTGGTCTTCAAAGACAAACACAAGTAACTATATCACAAGGTAACATGGTCTGGGACCTGGTGAGTGAAGAGATGTGAGAGGGAAAGGGCACAAGGGGATAAGATGGCTCTGAAGCTTCTGGACCTGGAGAATGGGGAAATGCTGGTGCTGTCTGGGTGGCCGTGGTCTGGAGGAGCAAGTTCAGACAGGAAGCAGTGGCATTGAGTTTGGGAGGTGTATTTGAGGCATAGGCAGGATATCTAGATAGACATGCCCTATGGGTGTTTGTAAATGAGGAAAGGGGGCTTCCGGGAGCAGCCAGACAGAGACACAGATGTGAGAATTATCCATTAAAAGTGATCACTTGAACCGTTACAACTGTGAGATCAGAAATGAGCCAAGGCGAAGAACAAGAGAGGTTGAGTGCAGATCCTTGGGGAACACAATGTCCTACTTGGCTGGGTGACAAGAGCTCCCCTCTTATGCAACACACACACACACACACACACGTGCACGCTTATCTCCCTGTGCATGCACCCTTTTCAACGCACCGGATCCTCAGCACCACAGGACAGGGCTGCGCTTGCTTCCAGCTCTCTCCTGGTATAATTTTTTTTTTTTTTTTTTTTTTTACAAATAGTTTATTGTCAAATTAGTTTCTACATAACACTCAGTGCTCATCCCCAAAGTGCCCTCCTCCATGCCCATCCCCCCCTCCCCCCCACACCCATCAGTCCTCAGTTTTTGTCAGCATTCAAGAGTCTCTCATGGTTTGCCTCTCTCCCTTTCCCCCACCATTTCCGCCCTTCTTCTCCCCCTCGTTCCTCCGTCAAGTTCCTCCTAATCCTCCTATACGTGCAAACATATGATATTTGTCCTTCTCTGCCTGACTTATTTCGCTCAGCATAACCCCCTCAAGGTCCATCCATGTTGCTACACATGGCCAGATTTCATTGTTTCTCATTGCCATGTAGTATTCCATGGTATAGATAAACCACATCTTCTTGATCCATTCATCTGTTGATGGACACTTAGGCTCTTTCCATGTTTTAGCTATTGTGGAGAGTGCTGCTATGAACATTGGGGTACATGTGCTCCTATGCCTCAGCATTTCTGTATCCCTTGGGTAAATTCCTAGCAGTGCTATTGCTGGGTCATAAGGGAGTTCTATTGTTAGTTTCCTGAGGAACCTCCACACTGTTTTCCAGAGGGGCTGTACCAGTTTACATTCCCACCAACAGTGTAGGAGGGTGCCCGTTTCTCCACATCCTCGCCAGCATCTAGAGTTCTCTGATTTGCTCATTTTAGCCACTCTGACTGGCGTGAGGTGGTATCTCAGTGTGGTTTTGATTTGTATTTCCCTGATGAGGAGGGATGCTGAGCATCGTTTCATGTGTCTGTTGGCCATCTGGATGTCCTCTTTGGAGAAGTGTCTGTTCATGTCTTCTGCCCATTTCTTCACTGGGTTGTTTGTTTTTCGGGCGTGTAGTTTGGTGAGTTCCTTATAGATTCTGGATATTAACCCTTTATCTGATATGTCATTTGCAACTATCTTTTCCCATTCCGTTGGTTGCCTATTAATTTTCTGGGTTGTTTCCTTGGCTGTGCAGAAGCTTTTAATCTTGATGAGGTCCCAACAGTTTATTTTTGCTCTTGATTCCCTTGCTTTTGGGGATGTGTCAAGTAAGAAGTTGCTGCGGTGGAGGTCAAGGAGGTTGTTTCCTGCTTTCTCCTCTAGGGTGTTGATAGTTTCCTGTCTCACGTTCAGGTCCTTTATCCATTTTGAGTTGATTTTTGTGCATGGTGTGAGAAAATGATCTAGTTTCATTCTTCTGCATGTTGCTGTCCAGTTCTCCCAACACCATCTGTTAAAAAGGCTGTCTTTTTTCCATTGGATATTCTTTCCTGCTTTGTCAAAGATCAGTTGGCTGTATACTTTTGGGTCCACTTCTGAGTTCTCAATTCTGTTCCATTGGTCTATGTGTCTGTTTTTGTGCCAATACCATACTGTCTTGAGGATGACAGCTTTGTAGTAGAGGCTGAAGTCTGGGATGGTGATACCTCCCGTTTTGGTTTTATTTTTCAGTATTACTTTGGCTATTCGGGGTCTTTTGTGGTTCCATACAAATTTTTGGATAGTTTGTTCTAGTTTTGAGAAGTATGCTGGTGCAATTTTGATTGGAATTGCATTGAATGTGTAGAGTGCTTTAGGTAGTAATGACATCTTAACTATATTTATTCTTCCTATCCATGAGCATGGAATGTTTTTCCATTTCTTTGTGTCTTCTTCAATTTCCTTCATAAGTTTTCTATAGTTTTCATCATACAGATCTCTTGTATCCTTGGTTAGGTTTATTCCGAGGTATTTTATGGTTTTTTGTGCAATTGTGAATGGGATCAGTTTCTTGATTTCTCTTTCTGTTGCTTCATTATTGGTGTATAAAAATGCAACCGATTTCTGTACGTTGATTTTGTACCCTGCAACTTGGCTGAATTCTTGGATCAGTTCTAGTAGGCTTCTGGTGGAGTCTGTCGGGTTTTCTATGTAGAGTATCATGTCATCTGCGAAGAGTGAAAGTTTGACTTCCTCTTTGCCAATTCTGATGCCTTTGATTTCCTTTTGTTGTCTGATGGCTGATGCTAGGACTTCCAGCACTATGTTAAACAACAGTGGTGAGAGTGGACATCCCTGTCGTGTTCCTGATCTCAGGGGGAAAGCTCTCAGTTTTTCCCCGTTGAGGATGATGTTAGCTGAAGGCTTCTCATAGATGGCTTTGATGATGTTTAAGTAGGTTCCTTCTATCCCAACTTTCTCGAGAGTCTTTATTAAGAAGGGATGCTGTATTTTGTCAAATGCTTTTTCTGCATCTATTGACAGGATCATATGGTTTTTATCTTTTCTTTTATTGATATGATGGATCACATTGATTGATTTGCGAATGTTGAACCAGCCCTGTAACCCAGGAATGAATCCCACTTGATCTTGGTGGATGATTCTTTTGATATGCTGCTGGATTCGATTTGCAAGGATCTTGTTGAGAATTTTTGCATCCGTATTCATCAAGGATATTGGCCTATAGTTCTCTTTTTTTGTTGGATCTCTGTCTGGCTTGGGAATCAGAGTGATGCTGGCTTCATAAAATGAGTCCGGGAGTTTTCCTTCGACTTCTATTTTTTGGAATAGCTTGAGAAGAATTGGGATTAATTCTGTTTTAAATGTCTGGTAGAATTTTAAGACTAGGAAAGCTCAGGTGCCCAAAGCAACCCAAGTGATTATTCTTTAACCCTTCAGCTTCCAATCTCGACTCCTCTAGAAATCTGCACACCTTTGAACGTGTGGCAGGGGGACAACAGCCACTGTCCTAAGACTTCAGTAGTTCATGCTATGGCTTGAATGAGGACCTGAAACCACTTTGTCGCAAAGGAGTGGGGGATAGGGACAGAAACACTGTGAAGCATCCCAGCAGTCTGATCTCAGATCCCCCAATCTTGATACACCAAGGCAGACTGATTTACTCTGGGATCTATATTGGTCTTTTGCACTAACTGTGCCTCAATTTTCCCAACTGAGCATTTTCTAAGGTGTATGTTTCATGAGATGGCAGTCCCATAAGGATAGGGATCTAAGCTTGTTAAAGCTTCTGAGAAGACTCGAGGTAAAGACGCCTGATTAAATTTTGGTTCCCAAATGCATTTGACTTGGGCAACATTTTTTTTTAATTAGTGACTCTGATTCTGAAGAGAAACTTTGGGGAAAGGCTGGACTATTAGATCGCTGAGATTATGCCTGGAGGTGCTGTTCCCTGTGGGCACCTAAAGAACACTGTGGGCACCTAAAATACAGAGCTGGACCTGCTGGGAAGTTAACCCTTCAATCTCCTCCCCAGGGAGGCCCAGCGGCCATGTGTGACTGCTCAAAACCCCAGCCTGAAGAGGCAGCCACTTCTCAGCAGCAATCAGACACTCCGCTGCCTGCCAGGATCCTGCATTGGCAGATATCTGGCCGAGTGAACCACATAACGTGGCCTTTCCTCATTAGGGACCCATACTGCCCATTTCCCAGGCTGAGAACACTCTGGCGGTTCTTGGGTCTGGGCAAGGCTGGCATAGGATCACAGGGCCATCATTAACCCACTGCTTTCCTCTCTCCCTTCTTAGCCTTGCTGCTTCTAAGGAGGCTGACGCTGCCCGCTCCGCGCCCAAGCCTATGTCACCCTCGGATTTCCTGGATAAGCTAATGGGGAGAACCTCTGGATACGATGCCAGGATCAGACCCAACTTCAAAGGTAGAGAAAACTTTCCATCCAGATCCTCCGGCATCTGCTTTCCTAGATTACAGAAGCAAGCAGCGTGGTATTGTATGCAGGTGGTAAACACGTGGCATGAATCCCATGACTCTTTCCTCTCCCAGAGGCAGACAGCATTAGTCAGTTCTGTCTTCTCCCCACCAAGCCTGAACAGAGCCACAGAGAATCCAGCTCCACAGACCTCTGGTTGCCAGGAGTCAGTATGTGAGTGAAAACCTATCTGCTCCCTCTGGTATAATGGACAGATCGACAAATGTGGAATGTGGAGAAATGGGTTCAACAGTTTTGTTTCAGGCACAAACTTACACTCTGAACTTGCATAAGCCTTTTCCTGTCTCTGGGCCTCAGTTACCTCATCTCTGGGGTGATAGAGTTGGCTGGATCTGTGGTTTTTATAAACTATGTTCCACGGAGCCCTCAGGCTTTTCAATCTTTTCCCCCAAGAAGGAGTGGACATACGGAGCGAAGCCCACCCTTGCTTTGCCCCCAGACAAAGATAAAATTCTAGTTGTATTTGTTTCAAAGAAGAAATTCCCAGCTAAAATTCATCTGCTGAATGTTCCCAGGAATGACTATATAATTTTGAAACGTTCTAGTCTAACTCAGAGTCATGATTTCAAATGGCCACAGGGACTGGGCAGATTACTTACAGGAGTGGGATAAGCCATGAGGAAGGCCAAAGGGAGCTGCAGCTATTCTGGAGAAATAGAGGTGCAGGTGAAGAGGGCAGCCTCTCCCCAGCCCCAGCCCATAGTTACCCTATAGGAATGAGGGAGGGCCCCATGTTGCCAGATCATCCAGGAGTCTAAGAAGAGCAAGAGATCAAGATTTATGCAAAATTTCCTGATTCCTAAAACATATAAATTCAAACAAAACATGTTTGCAAGCCAGATATGCTGGGCAGGGGTCTGCCAATTTACAAACCCTCACCAAATGATCTAAGAAACTTCTTTTAGCTCCAGAGTCCTATGAGAGCTTAATGTCTGTTACAAGAGGAGACCAGCTCCCTCTGTCCATCAATGCCCAGGAAGTTGCGGCCACGTCACACTGCTGAATGGAGTTCCGCTGGTGTGGTTCTTCTGGGGGCTCCCTGCACACTCCCGACTTCCTCCCAGTACCCCTGCTAAACTCTTATTCCAAGGACCAACTGCCAGCCTCCTAATCAATTCATGATTACAAATGCCCTTCCTCACTGTTCCTTTTGGCTCACGTCCAAGCTCAAACAAGGGATGTGACAGCTGGTAACAGCCTCCTAATATTTGCTTACTTCACTCCCCTTTCTCCAGGTACTCTTCTCAGAGTGCTCTGCAAGTGGAAAGTGTCTGTGGCATGCACTGGGGTTGGTTGCTTGGGGCCCACCTCCCACTCCTGTTTATCTGAAGGCCCCTCTGCCACCTTCTCCTGACGCCGTATCTTTCAGCATCATTAGCGTGACCTTGCCTCCCTCAGGGACACGTAAGTCAGGACCAAGGTTGCGGCCACAGGGTCTGGGCCCAGGCCCTTCAGCAGGGTCACAATTTCAAACATCCAGGGGGATCAGGTACAGCACCTGAGTGAAGCAGGATGGGGATAAGGAAAGAAAACCAGCGAGCACAGGCTCATCTAAGAGCAGCCATTTCTCAGGTCCTAACAGTAGCTGCCAGGTAGGAATGCTGGCCCTGGCCAGCAGGCCTTCCAAGAGAAGACTTGAGTCTGGGGTTTGCTGTGAAATCACAAGTCCAAGTTGGCAGGTAAATCACATCTTTTAGAAACACCATTGGCCAAATCAAATGCATTGGCGACCTAACCACCAGGCTGCATTGGGCGTCTCTGATGGTTTTCCAGAATTCCAGCCCGCCACGCCCCCTGGTGTGCTTTCCTGGAACTCCATCCTGAGTGCCCTGGGCTAGCTCTCTTAAGGAGGAAAGGGTGTGTTGAATGTGCATGCATCCAAGGTTCATGTGTTAGCTTGCCTCTATGCATAACACTGTACGTGACACATAGATGGCCCTCAATAAACCTTTCAAGAATGAATGAACCAAAATATATGCTAAGGCTTAGAGCATCCCAAGGATGCTGTCAAGACTTCAACTCGGCTACAGTTACTCAATTCTTTGTCTAATGCTAGCAATTTGTTTACTCATTCATTTATTTACTTACCTATTTGCCTATCAATGGGCATTTTTAAGAAGTAAAATTTCACCCAGACTATAAAACTATTGAATCAGGCAGGGCCCTTCTCCCCAGTCTGAGAACATCACTTTGAATATCTAGGCCCCAAATCTACAGACCTAGAAAATGTCTTAGATTTTTTCCAAACCTGCCCCCTTCAGTCTCTTCCAAGTTGGTCTCTGAGCAAGGTACCTCTTCCTGGAACACCTCCCACCCTACTCCCCTGCCCAGGGACTGGGAAGCAAGGTTTCTCTGCTCTCCCTTGGGTGAGAGCTGAAATATTGGCATGAGGTGTCTCCTGCCCCTGAGCCCCATGGTCCCTTCACACTTCCATTCAAGCACAAGTAAGATTCCCAAAAGCCACATACAAACCACAGAGCTCCTGAAATGGCCATGTAGATAAGGCCCTATGACCCTAACACAATAGGCAGAGACCTGCATTGTTTGAAAACTGCACAGAGTGATTAATCACCCAGCAGTTTCCTTCAAGCATGAGAAATTTTGCCTGCTCCTGAATTGCCTGAAGATAGGGGTGGCTGGGAACAGCAGGCTCAGCCTGCAGAACACAGTGGCAATGCAAGTCCTAATGCAGAAGTAAAGAGCACTAAGATTGGAGTCCAGTCCTCCCACTACTGACCTGACAGTGTGACCCAGAGACAATCACTTGACATATCTGGCCTCTGTTTCTGCATCTGTAAAAATGATCCAGTAGGACCCAGGCCCTTCCAGCTCTGATGTTCTGTATCTTCTCTAAGACTTTGTGTAGGATAATGGCTCCCAGGATCAGGGGCACAGCCTAATACAAACACATACACAAAAGCAAAATTAAACTTTAATATTTAATGAAATATATACTTTATCCTGCTGCCAAAAGCAGCCAGATTGTAATTTTCTCGAGGATAATTTAATTTCAGATTTATATCAATGAACTACACCTCCCTATGGGGTCCCTTTGGCTGGCGTCCTCTCACACACATAAATCAGGATCTAATTTATATGGGAGTCACAGTGCCACACACTTGCAGGGCCTGGGGGAGAACTCTGGACACGTCATTTGAAGGCATGGGCAGTAACTCTTTGGGGCATCTTAATGGTATGAGACTGAATGAAAAGAAAAGCCCGGGTGTGAGTCTCAACAAAGACCAAAAAAAAAGGAATGGGTCTTTGTGTTGGTAGAAGTAACAAGGGGGCAGACTTCCACTCAGCATCAGGGAAGTTTTTTTAGCAGACAGAAGTATCCAGCTATGGAAAAAGCTGCTCAAGACAAAATGAGTTCCCCAGCACTGGAGGTGTTCAAGGGCTCAGCCTCGAATGGGTAGCTGGTGCCACCATAGTAATGGTTCCTAAATTTGGCCATACATGGGAATCACCCAAGTTAGCTTGTTAGACAATAGATTCTGAGCTAATCTGCAGGGATTTGGATTCACTGGGGCTGGAGCTAGGCCGAGGAATCTGCAGTTTAACTAGTTCCCCAGGTGATTCTACTGCAGACAGCAGGTTGGGAAGGAATTGATCAGGTGACCTTTAAGAAACCCTCTAGCCCCAAAATCCTGTAACCTTGTAGTTCAAATGGACAGCTCCCATAAAGGAATTCCAAACCAAAAGAGCTCAGAGTGTCTACCCAGATCAAGAGCTACTGTCCCAGGCTGATGGGGAAATTGTTACCCAGAAACAGGAAGAGGCATGCCTAAATAAAATAGCCAGTGAGTATTGGAGCTTTATCGAAAACCCAGGAAGACTGGCACTCCCTTGGAGGGAAAACCTGGATTCCCACCACAAGACTGAGTACTTTCCTACACACCAAGATTTCTGAAAAGAAGGAAACTTTGTCTGAGTTTGGGCAAAATGTTTGGGCTCTTTTTTAAAGAGGGACAAAGGGGAATAGGTAACAGAGGACACAAGGATTATTTGCTTCCTTCTTTCCACAATCAGAAAACTTGGGTTTGACTCCTGGCTTGCTGGCTACATAAGCCCAAGGAAGTTATTAAAACTCTCTGCTCCACAGCAGGGATAGTAATTTTTTCCCAGCTCCCACAGGATCTCATGGGGATCAAAAAGAAAGCAGACCTGAAAAAATTCACAGACTGCATATTGCAATCTTCATGTGGAGGATTATGAGCTATTCCCAAGTATTACCATTTTCAAGGTCAGCTTAAGGTTTATCACCTTCATGAGGTCTTTCCTAATGACTTGCTCCCCAGCACCTCTCTTGTATCTAGACTAGTGCTTATGGCAATCTTACCCATGGTCTTACATTCCTCACTGGTTAGTTTATACTGGCCCCCTAGTCAACTCATGTGGAAGCCCGGTGCTTAAAATCCTGGATTCTGCCACTGTGTGACCTCGAGCTTAGCCCCTTTCTTTCCTTAAACCTCTTTCCTCCAAGTATAGCCAGCCACCAGCTTTAGAATTAGAGAAATCTGAACTCAAACTCTGGCTCCACCATTTACTAGCTGTGTGGCCATGAACAAATAACCTCTCTGAGCCTCTGTTTCCTCATCTGCAAAATGGAGGTACATATCTTCTGATGAAGTTGTTGAGAGGATATAATGAGATAATATCGGTAACACTCTTAACACAGCAGCAAACCCTGTAATGCTCAGTAAATGGTTACTGCTACAATACTGTAAAATGAAGAAATTGGGCTTCAACTGGACAGAGGTCCCTAACGATGAGATCCTAAAGAGCAAATATTTCTCCATTTCTTTTCTATCCTTTGCAGTAGAATTCAAGCTTGTCTGGAAAGTATTTTAACAAAGACTTATAGACTTCCCTTGAGGTTCCCTCTGGATTCCTCAGCTGGTAATTCCCATCAACACCCTTTCAGGCAATCATTCTTGGTTCATAAGTTCAAGGCAAGGAACTTGCTGTTCCTGGCGATTCCCAAGATGGCCTCCAAATGTTGTAGCCGTAAATACATTTCAGCCACAAATTAGAAGACAGCCGATGGGGTTTGGGGCAGGGATTTCAGCCATATGGCAGGATGATGAATCATCCTGTGTTAATGAAAGTACATCTCAGCTCAGCCTCTGGTGTTCTGTACCTGGTGCTCACTTGGGGACCAGGGAATCTGGCATAGTGATGTAGCTGGGAGTCCCAGCTGCTCCACGGTCGGGTGAGGGCAAGCAAGGGTCTCCACCACCAAGAGGGATCCATCCCTGGAATCAGTGTCCCAAGAATGGGTCCTATCTTGTGGATTTCTTCCTGACCATGGAGCTGAGCGGGAATCTCTCTTTATTGGCAGGTCCCCCGGTGAATGTGAGCTGCAACATTTTCATCAACAGCTTCGGCTCCATTGCTGAGACAACCATGGTGAGTGAGACAAAATACAGGCGGCTATTTCCCCCTGGGGGCTTATCTCTTCCAGAAATATGAACCCTCTACATTGTGCTTCCCCAAGGAGGTGGAGAATCTGGTGTTTTTTCAGATCTCTGGTGTATACCAGACTTGGACATCTTTACTGTCCTATTCAATGTTTGGGGTGAAGACATGCATCTGAAAATGGCCAAAGATCCAGCAAGGCTAGCACACGCCAAACACCCAGGATTTCAGAAACAAAATTATAGCAATAGGCTGAAGTTTTAGATGACAAGAAAATATAAAAAGCTGCTTGTAGGTTTACAATTCAACTGTACAATAGCAGAAGACCTCTTATAGAAGCTGCAGTGCATATATTGGGTTGATTCTACTCCTCTCTCTGCTTTTATGTGTATTTCAAAATTCTCATGGTAAAAAGTTTAGAATAAATCAACTATAATGGGGGTGCCCAGGTAATTCAGTCTGTTAAGTGTACAGCTCTTGATTTCTGCTCAGGTCATAATCTCACAGTTACAGGTTTAAGCCCTGCATCAGGCTCCACACTGACAGCACAGAGCCTGCTTGGGGTTCTCTCTCTTTCTCTTTCTCTCTCTCTCTCCCTCTTTCTCTCTCTGCCCCTCCTCCTTATGCATACTCTCACACAGGTGTGCTTGCTCTCTCACAAAATAAATAAAATAAAATAAAATAAAATGAAATGAAATAAAATGAAATAAATCAACTATACTGGAAAAAAAGACTAGAGGGAAAAATACCAAAATGTTAATAACAATTATCCCTGGATTGCAGACTTATGGATAATTTTGAATTTTCTTCTTTCAATATGTCCTTATTTTCTAACTTTCTACAAGTAGCAAATATTACATTTGTAATTATAAATAAATGCAGTGATACTTTAAAATATTTTCTCAATCCTTGAAAACAAACAAAAAATTGTACTTGTTTTGAAAGGAGTGATCTAACTTATGAGAAAATAATTAAAGCAGCCTGAAGTCATCTCTTTATGAGCAGAGGGACAGTAGCCAGCCAATCACCAAGTCCTAAAGACAGATGTTACTGCCAGGAAATCCTCTCCATCACCCATTTCTGGACATCCCCTCCCCCTAGTCTCATTCAGGCTTGCATGGCCCATGCTCACTTTACTGCAAAAGAGTCTTAACTCTCATCTTGCCCCACTCCCAGCCTTCTTTCTCACACACGGTCCTTCTAAGACCACAGATCTGACCACACCACTGCCCTGCTTCAACACCTCCCCTGGGGCTCCCCCCAGCTTCAGCATTAAGCCCCCATCCCTTTGCTAAGCTTAGAAGGCCTTTGGGGATTCTGCCCAGCTTTATCTCTTCTCTCTTTCACTTCCTATTCTGGATAACGGAAATGCCTAGAGTTGTCCAGACAAGTATATCTCTGTGTAGATGCCATTGAGGCCTCTGTCTAGAGCACACACACCAGCCCCCCTTCCCTTGCTGACTGCTCTTTTCCTTTAAGTCTATACTTGAATTACCTACAGAGGCAGACTTAACATGTGTGTGCACATGCGAGTTCATATGCAAGCTTGACCCAAGGCTACAGAGAGTTCTTCCTGCCCAGTCTCATGACACATTTGACAGTTCCCATACTAGCACTTACCACTCACACGTAACACCATTAGTAGTCTGCTTATTCGTCCATGTTCCTGCTGTAACATAAGTTATCCTGGGCTGGAGCTTGTCTCATTTCCTGTGGAAAACTCAGCAGCTGGCACAGTGATTTAATAATGGGTACTCAATAACTTTTCAAAGTAAATAAACCAAATCAAATATATTGTCTGTTGATTCACACAATGATTCGGTCCTAAACATTCATAGAGATTAGATCTAATCTTTTGATCCCAGACTGGCAAAAATCACTGAACTCTATAGGTCATGGGACAAATGGTCCAAAATCTGTCCTTTTGCAAAGAGGCCTGTCTTGATAGGATTGCGTAGACCCTGCCTACATCCAAAAGATGAATGATCAAACTCCCTAAAATTAATAGGCCTCTTAATCTCCAAATGGAGATGATCCCACCTGATGACTAGGAACAAATACAGCTGCTTTCCACTGGGTTGCCAGGTCAAAAAGTCAAGTTTTTCCACACTTTGAATGGACATCTTAAGAGCTCCTAATGAAACTCTCTGCTTTTCTTCTTGTTCCTCGCAAATCTGAAGCACATTGACACTTGCATTATTCATAGTCTTTGTGTAGTATGTGTTGACACTTCCCCTTTTCTTCTGGACTGGTAAATAGTTATCCAATCGAGTCAGGGACCACCTAGCTATGGAAAGAACTTGGTTATTTGAGGACAGGTATACATATCTGCTTTCCACCGCCCCCCAACTTGTTCCTCTGTAATGGCCACAAAGAGATCTATTTTCTTGACACACATTCTTAATAGAATAGCAGTTTGCCTTTATTTTGTGTGGTGGTTAGAAGCCAGGCTCTGGTGTCACATAGACCCAGGCTCACTCACGATATGTGAGGAGCTGATTTGTTTCATGTCTTTAAGCTTCAGTTTCCCTGTCTGTAAAATCCCAGCGGTGACAAACAAACTGACTTCTTGAAGTATCATGAGTAGAAATGATATGCAAGAGTGTTTATCACAGTAAACAGTTTTTGTAAGTCCTCCCCATGATTCCCATAATAATGCTGATGGTGATGATGATGACGATAATGGAGAACCCAAAGCTATCATGATCTTGAGCCTCATTTCCCCCTCCCCCATGTCTCCTGTCCACCTTTCCAGACCTCACTCCTGTTGCATTTTGCTCCCTACAGTGTTGCAATTAGGACACAGTCCTCTGTGGCCAGACAAAACCTGAGGTTCGCTGTGACCTTGGGCAGAGTAGTCTGAGTCAGCCTCCTTGTATGTAGAGTGGGGTACCAGTAGCATTCACCTTGTGATGTGTTGTGAGGATTGAGAGATAAAGCATAGAAAATGCTAAGCACAGTGCTTGACACAAGGCACACACGATGAATGTCAGCTATTACTCTTAAACACTACCCATAATTTTCAACACATTTCACATCACTGTCTCATCTGAGTCCTTCATTAAATTCTTGGTCTTGCAACCAATCTACTTGCAACCAGTACTGTAGACATGGTAGATAATTTACAGCTGAGAAAACAGATTTGGAGACATCACATCACAAAACCAGTTAGCTCTCACACAGGGATTAAGATCCAGTTCTCATAAGCCATAGAAGGGGTCTGTTGTGTATCACACCACCATAATGTCAAAGGGCAAAGACTTGGGAAATGCAGGGGCCACAGACCCACACAGCATGCTGGTGCAACCACCTAAGTATTGTCAAAAGTAGAAATCCAACCTCTTATGGTGCCAGGCTCAGCATGCCTCAGGAGGAAACAGTCAATAATGAAAATCGAGATAACCAACAAGGGAGGCCCAGGGGGCCCAGGGGGCCATGGCCCCCTGGGGTGGAGATGCATAACCTCTAGACAAAGAATGAGGAACTGGCAATGATGTGCCTCTTTGGGAGTGGTCCACATTGGGAGTGGTCCACAGGGGACATAGTTTTCTCCTTAGTAACTAAAGTTAATCCAAAAGAGGAGGTACCATCTTTAGTTTGTACATTCCACAATACTGTGATTTCCCCCCTCCCACTGGGTCCTTAATTATCTGCATGTGTTTAATTTACTTTGCAGATGATTTAGGAAAAACAGAACATAATATCTCAAAACTAGAAAAAGCCTTAAGAAATTATCTAAGTCCTTCATTTTACAGAGAGGGGATCTGATGGCTAGAGTGAGGATGTCACTTGAGCAAGGTCACACAGCATGGACCAGGTATAATGCTGTTTGCGATAGCCAAGGCCTCCCCTCCCCCTCAGCTTCTTTCTAATGTAGACCCTACCAACCAAACCCTCTGGACCACTTTCCCATTCAAGCCTCTTTCCTTGTCACTCAACATATGTTTGGAGAGCAAGATGGGACTCATATTAATACAATAACAAGAGCAACAACCATGCCTTAAATGCTACTATGTGCCAGGCATGTGGAGAGCACTTTTGCCAATATCATCTCATTCAGACCTCACAAAAGCCTCTGTGAGGCAGGAAATGTAATTCCCATTTTACAGATAAGTAAGCTGATACTCAGAAACATAAAGTCACACAGCCTGATCAGTGTCAGAGGTGGAATTTGAACTGAGATCTATCTCACCCCCAAGTCTGTCTTCTCCTGAGCCAAATATAAACATTTAATTCCTGGATGTTTGGAATTACCCAGCCCTTGCTTGTTTCCTTGCATCATAAGGAAATCAGAGATGAAAGGGAACTTCACTGAATAGACATGCCCAAGCCGCCAGACTTCCAGCCCAGGACTCTGCCTCACCGAAAACACACAGAGCTGACTGTGCTTCCTGGGCCCATGGTAATATGGGTATAGTCCCTGTGCCAGAAACTTTCCAGCCTGTGTTTGTTCTCCAAGAGCAGCGGGAATGCATAGCAGCTCTATAAACAGCTGCAGTCCCCAGGCCTGACTGTCTGCCTCCCAGGGCCTGGCTTTATTCACTGGAGCTAACAGACCTGAGAGCAGAGAGAGGCAGCCAGGAAAGCAACAGGGGTCTCTATCCATTCCCAATGAGAGGAAGGCTGAAGCTGCCAGCCCTTCATCTGACCTTTCCAGGGGCTTTCATTGGGTCTCTGCAGAAAAGGAAGGTAGAGATTGGAACACGAATGGGAAAGAGAGAAGAGGAAAAGGGGTCCTGAACTAAGCAGCCCCTTTGACAGGCCATGAGATAAAGATTTGGAACCAGAACCTAGAGGGATCCATCCAGCTTGTCTGGATACATGTAAGTCCCTATACTGCAGCATCTATGTGTCTGTGTATACACAGACATGTGTATACATGTGTATACACACATGTGTATATTGTGGGATTGTGCATTTGTGCAAATGTACACAGAGGCATGTGCATATGTGTATGCTAGCTTACAGATATTGAAACGGGTAACTTCAAA